GTTTCACCAGAGTGCTCGGCACAGCACCTGGAGTGCTCGGCACTATTTCTAGACTTCTCGTCATAACTCCTGCAGTGCTCGGCACGACTGTAGGAGTGCTCAGCCTCAGTCTTGGAGTGGTTGGCACCACTGCAAGACGTCTTGGCTCCACCACGGGAGTGCTCGGCACCCATCCTGGAGTGGTCGCCACCACTGCAGAACCTCTCGGCACCACTCCTGGCGTACTCGGCATCCCTCCCAAAGTGCTCGGCATCCCTCCCGGAGTGCTCGGCATCCCTCCCGAAGTGCTCGGCACTGTCCCAGGAGTGCTCGGCTCTACCGCCGGAGTGCTCGGCACCCCTCCTGGAGTGCTTGGCACCTCTTCCCCAGTGACTCCACCACCGTGGATGACCAAGTGCTTGACGACGAAGGTGCTGGTGAAGCCGCCAGCTTCCCCCATGCTCGAACTGCTCCAATCCCAAGCTGCCTCCTCATCGAACATGACGTTGTGTGAGACAAGCACCTTGTCTCCGCGTGGGTCATAGAGCTGGTACACCTTGGTACCCTCCGCGTAGCCCAGGAACACCATCGGTGTGCTCCTGACCTCCAGCTTGGTGAGGTTCGGCTTCGTCTTCCTAACGTGGCCGATGCAGCTGAATGTCCGGAGGAAGGACACGCTAGGCTTGCGCCCATACCAAGCTTCGTACGGCATCTTGCCTGTCAGGGCCTTGGTCGGAGAGCGGTTGAAGATGAACATCGTCGTGGTCATCGCCTTTCCCTAGAACCTTGCCAGCATGACTTTGGCCTTCATCATGGATCAGGCCATGCCGACCACCGTCTGGTTTCTTCTCTCCACCACGCCATTCTGTTGTGGCGAGTACGACGCGGTGTGGTGTTGCCCCACACCCTGATCCAGGCAGTACGAAGCGAACTCCACCGAAGTGAATTCGCCGCCACGATCAGTTCTCAGCACACGAAGCTTCTTGCCGCTCTCAGCCTCCGCGCACGTCTTGAACTTCTTTATCACCACCAATAGCCTCCCACGCCTCCTTAGCTGAGCTCTTCGTCCCCAATGACTCCCTGTACTCCGCCGGTACAGCAGCGAGGATATCCTCCAACGCTGACATGTTATCTTCTTCACTGTTGGTGCCTTATCAACAGTATTCCAAAGCCGTCGGGCTCTGAGCTTGACCTTTATGGTCACCAACCACTCTCCATAGTTGGTGCGAGTCAGCGTCGGCCAACTAGTGCCGCTGACCTCCCGCACCATGCGAACAACGACCTCCGGTCGTGGCTGGGTAGCCACAGCAGTGCCACTGCTGTCGTCCATCTCCGAACCGCCTATCATCGCCAGCGGTTAGTCTGGCGACGGCGCTTGTACGGCTCTGATACCACTTGTTGGCCCACAAGATCACTGGCTCAGGTGAGTGAACCACTCACCAGTTTTGCCGAGCACCCACTAGTCGTGCCGACCACGAACAAGCGTTATTCGTTCTCACACACTATGGCTAGAGCTAGAAGAAGAAGGCAGAACAGATTATACCCACAGTACAAGACACCAGCGTTGGCCGAAGCCCTGTATAGGAGATGACAAATCTAAACTCTCTTTACTGAGTTGCCGTGGTAGTCTATTTATACAAGTCTATTCATCTAGTCCTAGTACAGCTGTCCTACTGCAACAGTGAGTAGATAACATACAGGGCTGACGCTGCGCGGCCTCTGCATGTGGCTACAGTGTTGCAGGTGAGCCGTGTGGCGCCTGCACCTGCAGCGGCTATAGTATCACAGCAGGGGGGCCTTTCGACACCGCCTTCCCTTACTGTGTTCACACAAGGTAGCAGTAGATTATCTAACACAAACAAGCCTGTGACGCTCTTCTGGATGTGCAGAAGTTGGATCCTGGAAATGAAGAGATCGAGAGAGAACTACGCTAAAATGCTACCTTTTGTTTATTCTTTCGTGTGTCATAACAGATTAGCTATGAATATGTCAAAGGCCAGTAGGCTGACATCATGTATGAAACATAGCGATGAAGATCATGGCGGACTGCTTCTGTGATTGCAGCTGACGTTTGTTATTCCCCGTTTGGTTTTCTGCAGGAAGGCTGTGGAACGGATGAAGGACTCTCCCGATGCAGATCAGCAGTGAAGCGTGACAGTCTAAGATCCAGGATGTGGTCACAGTACAAATGGTGATCAAGTCCTTGTGATTACGCGTAGTATAAGGGACAAAAACAAAATGTCAGGTGTCTAACGAATTGTAAGAGGGCAAGCACGAGAATTTGTTCTGCTTGGAGCACGTTTCTTCAGTTAGGAGAGAATTAACATGGAACAAACTTCGTTCTGCCAACTTATCACTGTGACATGGAAATCTCTATGGACTTGACTCGTGCGAAATTACCTGGTTGATCGGTGCACTGTGCTTCTTCAGTTAAACATGCCAGTGCTGTCGGTGCGAGATGTTGCGACCAGTGGTAGTAGCTCAGAATGACAAAATGTGGTTGGAATGGGGGATAATTATGCTGATGAACCTCAATACTTTCAAGCACCGATCGATTGATTTCGATGCCTAGCAGCCTAGCACCCTTTGAGAAAGTGGATGTCAAAGACAAGAACACATCTCGTCGAGTGCCTGGTGAGGCGGTGGACGTGCTACCTGCCATGCAGTGCAGGATTTTGAGCTTGGATATTTCAAATAAAAACGGCTGTCAATTTTTTTTTGACAACCAAAAGACAAAAAGAAAGGAGCAGATCTCTTTTTTTCCCCATGCGGGTTCCTGTTTTTTGGACATGGAAAACTAGTTTTGATACGGATTAGTTTTGAAAACTGATTTCTTTTTTTTTACGTGGAGTCATTTTGTTTTCCAGGGATTCCTGTTTTTCCACACGGATTCTTGAAGTAATAGTAGCTTTGGCCATAATGGCAGTGGCCACAATGGCTGTTATTACAAAGTTCCCTCAGTACAATAGTGGTTAAAAACTTCAGTTACACCCTTGACACTGTCAGGAGGGATTTAGTACAATCATCATCAGGAATTGTTGAAAACAGTACAATAGTGGTTACAAGGCTTAACTTATACCCTTCACTTAGACTTCCGTGGACGGTAGTTACCATCCATTATAAACCATCAATAAAACTTGAAATCATGCATGAAAATGATCACCAACATAGACATAGGGGTTTGAACTGACAATTTCCACGAGTTTTGGTGAATCTGTGTTTTCAGCAGGGTTTATCCAGAAAACCGTCAAGGAGGATCACAAGGTCAAATAAAATCACGCTTATCCGCAGCGAAAAAAACTCCAGAAGGTTCCAGAGGACACCAGAAATCACGCCATCGAAGCAGACCTGCAGCGGATGATAGGTGGGGCTGGCCGTCCAGCCCCTGGGGCCCACATGTCAGCCCTCGCTTTGTATGTCGGTTCTTCACCGCCTTAAGGATTGCATCTATGTCGTTTATTCAAGTCGGTTTGATCCGAGGGCTCAGGATTGACGCTCCGGCCTATATATACCAGCCCTGCCTCTCTCTCTAGGCAGATCTGCCATAAGTCAAGAGTAGACCAGAAATTAGGGTTTATAGAGAGAGGAGAATAGAGCTAGGTAGTTGAAGTTCCCTTCTTTGCCAGTGCTGAGGACCATTGCAACATATGCAATATCTCGATCTACTTTTGTAACATCCAAATGAAATAATTGCAACATACCTATGAAACAATTGCAACATACGCTTGCAACAAGTGTTTTCAGCACATTGCAACATCTCCTTACTGCTTGGGAGAATGGAGCCTCATCAGCGTGTGGAGTTCGTCTGTGGCAGCGGTGCTTGTAGGCGGCGGGCTGCGGCGGCAGGGAGGTATCAACCACGCAACGCGGCAGGGAGGCAGAGGACAGCTGTGGCTCAGAGGCGGCCACATGCCACGCCAAGCAGGCAAGGCCGGCAGTCCACTGACCGAGCGCCGCGCCTGGCAGGCAGGGCCAGCAGTCCGGTGGCCGAGCACGGCTCCTCGGAGGTAGAAGGCGAGCAGATAAGAGAGACGAGGGCGGATAGGAGCAACGGGCGGATAAGAGCGATGAGGATATGTTTTTATTAGAAATGGACGAGGGGATTTGAGGGGTTGTTGGGCCGGTCCACTGCGCATCTAGGAAACGCGTCCGGACGAGCAGAGACGAACGGATGTCCTGACCCCAGCATTATCTATGTGCCGTGCGCGACTATCTTGGTGGGGGAGAAGTTGTGCGCGACTATCCTGGTGGGGGAGAAGTTGGGCCACTGCCGTTGTTTAGCCGCAGGACGTGGGGAGGGAAATTAGTAGCAGAATCTATGTGTTTGGGCTGAATTCTTCACATGATATTCATTTTAGCTTCATCTTCATCTTTTTTCTATTTTCTATGTATATAATTTTTTGATAAATTAAGGTATTTTTTGCGGTTACACAATACAATGCAAGACACTTACGGCGCGCGCACACTCACCCCTATAAACATACGTATGCAAACCCTATTCCTATGAGCATCTTCGAAGAATAAGCCGGCAAAATCGTCACCACAGGCGTCTCGCTATGGTCAACTAATAAATTTATAAAAAGAACACCGATATATAAAACATCAAGTTAGTACTGCTAGATACGTCATGAAATATATTTCAAGAATATACCTATTTGATATCATAAATAATTTATATTTTTTTATAAATTTAGTTAAATTTAAGATAGTTTGACTTACAGTAGAAATTGATTTATTTTAGTTTGGAGAGAGGAGTATCGTATTTCTAAACCGCAATTTTTGGCAGCGGCCAAAATCTGAAATACAAGCGCAAGAGGGCTGTGTCCCTGTGTGCATATATACCGGGCGCGGCGAGCCAATTCCCTGGACGGGTTCGGATTTCGGGCCTTCGGTTCGGGCACGCCCCCATTTCTCCGGTCGCCGCCTCCTGCTCACCAGGACACCAGCCAGCCCAACAACCTGCTCCTCGCCAGTCCCCACAATCCACGAGGAATCTTCTGGAGCCAAGGGTATACGCTGCCATGGCGGACCACGAGGCGGCGGCGAGGGCTCCACCCGTGGCGGTGGCGCCGCCCCCACCGACTCCGAGGACCGCGGCTGCGGAGGCGGAGGCGGAGGCGAAGGCGGCGCTGGCTGACGTCGTCGTCTACTGCTTCCTCAGCGCGATGTTCGTGGGCTACGCCGCCAGCATCGCCTTGATCGTCGGGCGCTACGCCGTCGGCGGGCGCTACCCCTACGCGTACGCGGTGGTGGCGGCCGTCGCGAGGCACGTGTTCCTGCTCGCACTTATCGCTGTGGAGATGCTCTGCCCGTTCACCATCCTGGTGGCTGGTGCTTGTCTTGCGCCTCAGCAGACGGCAACCTGAGCCTCCCGAGGAGTTGCTAGTGGTGCGTGATTCCAACCAGCTTCTCGTCGTTTTTATTCCCTACATAACCGAGATCCAGTGGTTCCTCGTAAGCATTTCTAAGTGCTGGACATGCCAATTTTTTGGGTGCGCTCCTCCTTGCTCGTGCAGGTTGAGGGTGTGCACGTCACCATGCAGGTACATGGTCTAGAGCACCCTGGAGCACGCGGCGGGCGTCAGGGTCAGGGCACTGGCTATGGCCTCATACCGCTGCTGGTCTTCCTCGTCTTCTCGATATTCATGCTGCTAGGCCTGCTGATGCAAGAACGCTTGCCTGCAAAGGAGTGCTATGTTCAGACTGCTGGGGAAGCCTTTATCAGTGACATTGGAAGCTTCATTTGCTCTGTCATGGTCATCTTTACCTTCATTCCGCATGTGTTGATCCAGCTGAGGGACATGCCGAGGTGAAGTGTGGCTTGGCCCAGATGCTGTGACACCTTGGTGCACCATGAAACGTACTATACATTTTTCTGGTATTATGTGGTTTTGAATTGCTAATGTGCTCATAATCCTCTGTTTGTTTGGTGACCACTGGCTAGCTAAGACATTAACCCTGCATCGTAGAAGTTGAAGTTCAGGCATAGAGTCAGCAGGATACTTTGCTCACTCATCTATAATCTCCTTGAGTTTTAATGCTTTGCTCAGGTTGAAAGTCTGATGCTGCTGTGAATTCTAATGTAGTCACAGATGACAACATATTTTTCAGTTGCGGCTTGAATTTCCAAGTAAACAGCATGAGAAAATTTCTTTCTTCTGTGGTCATGACTTATCATTTGCTATTCTTAAACAACAATACGCCTCTAGGTGTTGTGGATTTACATATAATTTGTCTTACCAAGTTATTTTTCATAGAGTTCAGTAATTTTTTTTGACTAATTAAGAGTATCTTTCTGCTAGAGGAAATGCCATTGTAGCTTCTGAGACACCCCAATTGCTAGTTAAAACACGAATGCCAAGAATTTTTTGATCGATAGCTTCTCAACAGTATAGTATCCAGTTCCGTTTAGTACCTCTTCTCTCTGCTTCATGTATGCCATCTCTGTTTGCATTATATTGCACCTACAAGACTACAAATGACTTATGCCATTTCTGCAAAACTTAATTTGATTTGCTAGCAAACTGAGATATGCCACTCTACTTTCTGGTTCTACATTGGACTTTTTAGCTAGCTTCCTGCTGTGATATTCCAACACCTTGGTGCACCGTGCAATGCACTATACATTTTCCAATACTATGTAGTTTTGCATTGCTAATGTGGTCATAATCCTCTGTTTGTCTGGTGATCAGTGGCTCGCTAAGACGCTAACCCTGCATAATAGAAGTTGAAGTTCAGGCACAGAGTCAGAAGGATACTTTGCTCACTCATCTATTATGTCCTTTGAGTTTTAATGCGCTCAGGTTGAAAATCTGTTATTTAAGTTGCTGTGAATTCCAATTTAGTCCCAGATGGCAACCACAATATTTTCAGTTGCGGCTTGAATTTCCAAGTAAACAGCATGGAAAGTTTCTTATTTTTAGGCCATGACTTATCATTTGCTATTCTTAAATAACAACATGCCTTTAGGTGTTGTGAATTTACATATAATTTGTTTTACCAAGTTATTTTACGTAGAGTCCAGTAATTTTTTTTAACTGATTAAGAGGGGGTTTCACTACTACAATAAGCATTTGTAGGGGCGGCTGGCGATGGTTTGTAGAGGCAGTTTTGCCAGCCGTCCCTACCACACCGTCTCTACAAATCAAGGGTTTGTAGGAGCGGTTCCCAAACCGTTCCTACAAATTAATTTGTAGAGACGGATTGTGTCACCAGCCGTCCCTACAACTGTATTTAAAATGATTTGCAGGGGCAGCTGTAACCTCAGCCGCCCCTATAATTCCCATTTGTAAGGACCATTTTTTGAGCCTACCCAAGCTTGTGCGTGCGTGTGTTTGGGGGAGGGGTTGAGTTGAGAGACCAGTTTCCGTTTAGTACCTCAATGTATGCCATCTCTGTTTGCATTGTATCATACCTACGAATGACATATGCCGTTGTTTTTTAGCTAGCTTCCTGTTGTTATGCTGTGATATTCCAAGTTCCAATTCTGTTCTTGCTAGATGTGTCTACTTATTGATTATTTGTAGGGTGTTTTTTTTTTGCCTTGTTTAATGATCCTTGCCAGTCTATGTTACATTCGTAAATGGTCATAAATCATGTTTACTGCTCGCGACCAGTGAGAAATTTTGGTACTAAAATAATAAGATTATCCTAGCTTCTATCTTGTAGGATGGAACTGTACTTAAGTTATATCATTTAGCATTTGTTTGTGATTAACTCTAAGTTTTGGCTTTTGGTGGATGAGAGAACTTGAGTTCAGATTCTATTTGATGTACATGCTTCAATGCTTGCTCTATTACCAACCAATTTGACATATTTGCAGACAATTACCATCTAGTATCATCCCAAAAATCCAACTGGTTGCTGGCTTTGTTTGTTAGAACTAGTATAATATATGGACTTCTGTAGCAAACATTCTTTGATGTCATTGTTTTCCGCAAATAATTCTCACTAAACTACAAACTTTAGACCAGAATGGAAAGTTGATGCGGTTCATAGATAAAATTGGCACTGATATGATTCTATCGAGTGATAGTAGCATTTCTGCTAGACACTCCATTATTTGGACAATGTAACATTGTTTTTGTCGTCCAACTGCCTGTATATTGCAATATGTTGTTTTATTAATCAGTGGGTAGCTGCTCTGTGCCTCATTAACCAATTCTGGCATCCAACGCTTCATTGAATTCATCGGTGTACGCTATCCTGATGAATTTGGTAAACGGTGTGTAGAGTTAGCATCTTCTGTGTGGTAGCTGCTTTGCAGTTTAGATTTGCCAGTGAAGTAATTTTGCTTGACTTATAAACTGTGCCTTGTGTTCTATTTCATTCTAGGCGCTTCGATGATGTATCATGTGTATAATATTATGAACATATGATTGATATGTTGCTTCCTCACCGTTGTATCCTGTTTTTTTTTCTAAATTAAGAAAGCCAATAGAAGTTCATACAGACTGGAATACCAGTTGGAGGTCCACAGCAGTGAGTCTCCAAAACCGTTGTGCCCTGTTTGTTATGATTGACAATCCTGTATTCTTATAAAGCAAAATCCCACTAGCAATTTTTCTTGACATGCAACGGTCCACTATCACTTGCAATTAAAGTTCACTAGCACAAGCAATTATGATATCTACGTCAGCGAGACACATCATCCACTAACATATATTTAGTTGTCCACGTCAGCGTGCCACGCTATCCACTAACATTAGTTTATAATAGTTAATCTCTTCCTAAGAATTATATGAATAATTAAATTTCATTTCAAATCAGTAGTTCCGCAGCAATGCGCGGGGTGTTCATCTAGTTCTTTAAACTTACATTTACATTTTGTAATTGGAGTTATGGGACACGGCATTTATTTCGCTGCAGTAGAAGAACTTCTATTTGTCTCCCGTGTCGTTGTGCACTTGTGCGTGACCACAAGGGATTTGGAGTTATGAATTGTGATCTTACTTAACATGCCACGACATCCAGTTTGCATAGCAAAGTTTTCCTTTTCTAGAAACACTACGGAAATGCCAGGAATATGCTTTTTTTTTGGTATATGTTGCGATCAGGACATACAGTTTGCATATAGCAAGTTTTCCTTTTCCGGAAACACTACGGAAATGCCAGGGATATAGTTTTTTTTTTTGTGTGTGTGTGGGGGGGGATATATATTGCGGTCGCCACACTAGCTTGTTCCGTCTCACTAGTCACAACTTAACAATGATTGGGAGTCACATTTGCATGTTGATACAATTTCGTTTTCATCTCGTCGCATGCTGTTTATTCCAGCGCTTGTTTGTTTGTGTGCTGTTTTCCTCTCGTTTTCACTGTTTACAACATCAACTGGTGAGCAACTAGCATATTTATAGCATCTCCACCAGATTGAGAATTTCCAATCCCCAATATGCAGTTTAAGGAGATTGACAAAACAAACTTTTAGAATGTAGGAGAACTGTGATCCAGTAGATTGAGAAAAAATTCATCTCCTTTATTCTCTTACATGTCAATGGGACCTCTCTTCTTCCCCCTCTCTCCACAACAGCTCAAAGTGTGGGTGCGGCGACCAGCGAGGCATGGGGCTCAGCACGGCGGATGCTGCTCGGCCAAGATGCGTTGGACTAGAGGAACAAAATGACAGTCGGTGTGTGGGGGCATGGTGGTGCAGTAGCCGGTGAGGCGCGGGGCACAACACGGCGAAGGTTGCTCGATCGACAGCGTGGTCCGATGGGGCCCGAGATGTCCTTTACAGAAGAGGGAGAAAAGGGGATTGAGAAAAAAAGAGACTGCTTGCTTCCCTCTATTTGAGGGATTGAGAGGAGGTTCTAAGGAATTGACAAAGAAATATAAGGAAAGTGGATTGAGATAGGGGATCTGCTATAGAGGTTTTGTTTCATTGCATTCCATTAGATGACAATTTTAGGGAAAGAGATTGTTTTTTTCTCAATTTGGTGGAGTTGCTCAGGTGGTGGGTATCGCAAAAGCGAGGCGCCAAGCATGGTGCAGAAGCGCACCAGACTACCCCACTTTGGCGTTTGGGTAATAACGACAGCAGGTCGAATAAGAGCATCTCCACTTGATCTCTCATATTGTATCTCTTGTAAGTTGCTTTAGGAGAGTACCTTAAAGTCAATTTTATGATATAGGAAAGTAATGCTGCAACAGATTACGTAAAACTTGTCTCCTATATTTCTTTAGGGATGGGCATGAGGGGTTGTTCACCTTTGTTTAGGAGAGAGGATGCTTCTTTTAGGAGATCTCTTACAAATTAATTATAGGTACAGAAGATGAAATAGGAGGTTTTTTGCAGCTCTGTCTCCTAAAACACCACTTTTAGTATAGGAGATTCGATAAGATGTCTGATGGAGATGCTCTAAGATGCAGTGCATGAAGTAAAATAACTGTTCATAATAACTTGTCCATTAATCAAAATTTCATATGAGTACTTGTACTTGGGCAAGCTTTTTTTAGAAAAAAGACGTGAGTCTTTATTGATCCAACTTGACCATTTGTTATAATTTTTTTAATATCGTATCGAGATGTGTATGGTAACTAACATGTATACATGACTGAGATTCTAATGACAGTCGCAAAAAAAAAAGACTGAGACTCATGACTCTTTCTTATACAAATGACAAAGGGAAACATCAAACATGCGACTTTTTTGTGTAAAGTTTTTTTAATGTGATCAAAGATAATTGTCTGCATGAGACGTCTTTATGAAATATGTGATAAAAAAATGTACCATAGTTCAAAAGAGAAGCAAAACTTCGTGGTTCAAATAAGTCTAATTTCTTAGAAAAAAATTCTAACCATTTCCCGTATAGTA